GCTTTAAACAATTATCTAAATGAAGTATGCAGTCTTCCATATGTAACTGAAGAACTGTTACTACTGTACACATGCAGCTTTCCCTTTGTTGCCCAAGTACAGTAACTGTTATTGAAAATGATTACATAAATGCAATGCACAATAAAATAAAACCATCAGGCATGGGAGAGTTGACAGACCTTCAGCCAACTAATGGGGTCAGTCTTCTGCACTCAGTCTTCTTTTTTCCTTCCATTTATTGTTTTTACACTGAAAAAAAAGTTCAACAAAACAAAGAGTTGACCATAAAAAACAGTGAACAAAGAGGAAATTATGTCTGCAGGGATAATAAGTTCCTCACAAACAAACAATACACAACAAAATAACAAATTCATTAAATATTTACTCTAAAGGGAAGTGGATATTCAACTTATACAGGAAAATTATTCTCTTAACGTCCATGCATTGTTTTTTAGTAATGTTTAGATACTCGAGACTATGTACATCTTGGTAACACTTTCTATGAAGACCACATATTGAGCACAGCATTAGTTCAGGCAGGACACAGTGTCAAGCTCAGCTCACATCCAACATCTGCTCATCTCAAACAGCCAACCAACCGATGGAGCAGCCATTTGACGTTAGCGGGTGTTGGTGGATTTTTTGTGCAGTGGGACAGAAGCTACCCCTTTAAAACACCAAACTCACACAATTACACTCACTAATGGATTGATGCAGTGGTAGACCAGCAGCCCCCATGTTCAGAGAGGTAGAATTAGCCTACTGTTTTTGTCAGTAGAGACTGGCTTTGAAGAGGGAATAGATAAGTTCACTTTCAGTTCAGTTGCCTGTTGAAAAGGGGTGACTGGGAAGTACGAAGCATATGACTGGATAAATGAGACTTTTATTGCACAAATTGTGTTAGAGTTTGTAAACTCATGTTTTAATTAGGATTGCACCCGACGAAGAACATTCCTAGTCGACCATAGTGGTCATTTACACTGATAATGTATTGTGAGATAATGAGATAAATAAAAAGAAGAATTATAAGTCACATCTATAATGTTTTATTACTGTTGATATAGTGCATCTGGAAGCATTATGTGTAGTTATGAGTGCAGTCATAGAGCATTCACAATACACTATAAATGTCCTCATAAGGCATTATAGATGTGGTCTTCATAGAAAGTGTTAGCAACATTTTTACTAAGTACTTTATTGATGCTGCAAGTAGAAAACTAACTAGCTTAGCACAAGCATAATGTCCTGAAATCCACCTACTGAAGCACAAAAGCTCCTTTATCCCAGCTATTTATTAGAGATCCTCAGATAAATGAACTCTTCCTCCTTCATTTGGAGCTCAGGCGCCTCAGCTCTATCCAGCCATTGATTAGAGATGTGTTCAATAATTCAAATAATAGCGCTGGAGAAGAGCACGCAATTCGTCATCAGTCATGTCGTTTCGGTGTTAGGCAATGACCCTTGAAGGCATGCCAGCTAAATCATCCTATGACATTATGGATGGGGTCATTTGTAACTGTGTCATGCTATGATTACTACTTTGTTACAATGGATCCTTCTGACCTCAATGTGATTCAGTCAGTAAAGAGTTTTCTCATTATAAGCATAAACCTGAATGAATTCTTATAAGGGTTCCTGGCAGCAGGGTGATGAGAGGTCAGGAGTTTTACCCACAAGGTTGTTTAAGGTAAATGTGAGTAGTTTTGTTCCTGAAACTCTTACAAAAAGTTGAATTTTACAGTTGTGTGAAAGGAGTGGGCTATCCCTATGTTATGCAATGAAAACAGTTACAAAATGTCTTCTATGGCCTTAAAAATAACCCTGATGATGTCAGAGTAGTGTCATTAGGGCTGTTATTTGGACTGGATTTCAAGTTTGTAGCAGAAAGATTGTGTCACAAACTGTGGGTGGGGGGTGTGAAAGATGTGGGTGTTAGTAAAGCAGTTGTGAGGGGGAGCAATGAGAATTATTGTCCAGCTGCATTATGGGAAATGCAAGATTTAGTGTTTTTGGCGTTTGACCCAAAAAATGTATAAAGATGGACAGATGGACAGCTCCCAAAAACTGAAGTTAAAACAACTTCCCCTGGTGGCTGTCTGCAGTATAGGTCACAGGTCACACCAGGCCAAACTAAAACCTCAAAGTTCATGTCAAAGACACTTTTCCCAAAGATGGTTTCTGTCATTTTATGTAGTTTTTATCACACTAACATGTTTTCAAGCTTATTTTATTGGTGAGTGGTTTTAATTAGTCCTCTAAAAAGGAGGTTTGACATTGCAGTTGACAGCTTTGTTTGTCATGCTCATGATCCCGACTCTTGGTGATTCTCAAGGGTCTTTTAGACCGAGAGTTTGCTTGCTTTGATCTGAATCAAAGTCGAGGTCAGAACACGCTCCTACCACAAAAGAACCACATCAGACCACCTCTTTAAGAAGGTCTCAGTCCGGTTGTTTTGGTGTGTATTTGAGTGTTCACACCGTGTTCACACCTGCCCAACAAACTACACTTTGGTGGCAAACAAACAGGGCAGGTGTAAAAGCACCCCCTCAAAATCAAGGATGCTTCCCTGGTAGAACAGGTCTTCCAAGTTGGGTCCTACACAGGCTAGGCAAGACTTTTTCCTAGCATTCAGTGAACACACATTGTAACAGGCTAGCAAGTGCCCAGGTGTCCATTATTAAGAGACCCCACCTTCAATTCCAGCAAATTCTGCACAAAGAATCGTGGGTACTTCATGCCCGCTGAGGATACACATATACATCCTTGAAAATTCTTTGGGGGAGGGGTCTTAGGTCTTGGTGGAATTCTAAGGATCCTTGACATTGAAACAGTACTTTGGCAGGATTCGATTCGATAATGTAGCCTCTTTGAAATTCAGCCATTTCCTTGACTGTAAGAAACACCATCTGGTTCTAACATCATCAGTGCAAGATGGCAGTGGGCGTATTCGGGATATTTTGGCTTCATGTTTTTCGAGTGGGAATAAGTGGAGATGCAGCACCCATATTTGTATATACTCATGGGTTTGATTCAGTCTGGGAACTAAATGTCAGGACATCTGCAGCATTAGTTTAGATCACTTTATTTTAAAGAAACCTATTTTTATATAAACACTATTTCAAATGACTGTAATGTGGATGGGGTGACCTGCATGCCAAGAACAAGATGGACACCCAACAACTCTGTAGGTCAACAAAGATTTTAGCTTCTTTTGGTTAATTATTTTGGTTGTGCAGCTTAGCATTACTTGTGTAGTCGGGACTCAGATCTTACTTCCCCATATCAGATTATCAGCTGTTTTCCAGCAAAAATGTTTAGACAAACAAAATTCAAACTAGCAGAAATAGCAGAAAGATGCAGATAAAGATTTATTTTTTTCTTTTCAAATTCCAGTGAATATAGGTACTAGATTGCTTATGTGTCTCCGAGACCTTTATTGGGTTGATGATGCTGTTCTGTGTCTGATGGATGTTACAGTAGGCAGGCATTTTTTGCTCACAGATCAGCCATAGCAACTTTACATAAGTCAATAATTGGATTCTTTCCACCCCATTGCAGTCATTAAAGGGATAGTGCACCCAAAAATGAAAATTCAGCCATTATCTACTCACCCATATGCCAACGGAGGCCCTGATCAAGTTTTAGAGTCCTCACATCCCTTGCGGAGATCGGCGGGGGCAGCGGCTAGCACACCTAATGGCAGACGGCGCCCCAGACTAACATAAGAACTAACCAAGAACACAAAATTGAAACCACAAAATATCTCCAACATGCCCATCCATAGTGATCCAAGTGTCCTGAAGCCGCAACATAAGAAGTTGTTTCGAAAAACGTCATATGAACTCTGTTTTTAGCCTCACTGTAGCCTGTAGCTCTGACTGCTTCTCTGTGCTCCGCGTTCACGTGAGGACTCTAAAGGCCAATTTCCACCAGATGCGTGTTGGTTGCGTCTCCGCTCAGGCACGGCAGCGGAGCCGATAGGATTCCATTCTAGTCAATGTGTGTGTTTCCACCGGCTGCGGCTGTGTTGCGTTCCGGCTCCGTCTCAGCTCCAGCACTCCAGAGCCCTCCGAAACAGATACGCAGGACTTCTATTTTTGCCGGACGCCGGAGCACAACGCAGCAATTCAGCACAGAGCAGATCGTGCGGGGCAGGAAGTCATGCACAGAAACACAATAAAACATCCAGTTAATTTTCAAAATAAAAAACAAAGTGTTCACGGCAGATCATATTTCCCTGCACTACACCTTAAAAACTACATAATGGGCAGAGTCAGGCCTGAAGTCAACAGGTCAGAGGTTTTCAGACGTCATTTCACCCCGTGAACACCATGGACGAGGAGATATTAATCATGGCAGTGCACCGAGATGTCTTCCGGCGGAGCTGCACCGCACCGCACAGCAAACGCAGCCGATGGGTATTGACGGACGGCGGAGCACGCAGCGGATAACCAGCGCTGCCGTTCCGCAACGGACACGCATCCAGTGGAAATCCGGCGTAAAACTTCACCAGGGCCTCCGTCAACATATGGGTGAGTAGATAATGGCTGAATTTTCATTTTTGGGTGCACTATCCCTTTAATACAGCTTCCAAATTAAATTGGAAAGACAAAGCCTGGACATTTAATATTGTGAAATATGTTTACATAAATGAAAGAATTTGTTTCTTCAGTCACACAGACTGTCCTCCAAAGTGAGACTTACATACAATAGAAGAAGTAAGTAAACAGATGATTCCCCAAACATATGGTCATAAACTGTAGGAGATCTAGTGAGGGGTCATACAAGTGAAAAACTGCTGCAAATGAAAGACTTATCTTTGTTATGTGTTTGTAAATGTAATAGGTATCTAAAAGAGATTGTTACTAATCCTTGTTCTGCACCTCTGAGTTAGAGGGTTCAAGCATTTCTTTACCAGCCAATAGCTAGAATATGTATCGTCTCATATTTATCCATTTATCACACACTCTTTTGAAAAATGTAATCAAAAACAGAACATGTTTAGCATTTTAAGTATGATTTTATTTCCTCTGGAATTAGAAGTGACTATTAAGAGACAACAACAATCTCACTAAAAGGGTCATAAAATAGTTTTGTGTGGGAATGTGTCCCTGCAAAGTGTTATGTTCTCTTAAAAAGTGTGTTGTCTTGAAAAGCATGCGACCTAGAAAGTAGATTGCAGTGACTGATTCCAGTGCAGTAGCACCATTCATCTCAATTTCACCCAGTTAATAATTAATAACGTGTTGTGTGTATTCTGTTTTATAAAGCTTTTCATGTAATTCCCACATACTATCATAGCTTAGATTTTTATAGCATTTTAATATGTCAAATGAGATCACATTTATACAGTTATTTTTCATGTTAAATGTTCTTGGGTCACAATAATGGTGCAGAGTTGTTGATATAGAGAGTCTATTACATCATCATGCAGCTATTCTCCCCCCCCAAAAACATGTATTTTTATAAGTCTTAGTTTTTTGTAATTATGATGACTATAAGGATGAGATCATTCTTGAACCTTAACACCAAGGTCACTACTCTCCCAGACCTCTCACACAGTATTTAAAACCATTACAGTGTCCACCACCATTGGAATTTGGAAGGATAAGCAGTAAATAAAGACCACAAAGGAATGTGAATTTAACTTTGATGAACTGGACCAGGTGCTAGTTTGATAAAGTCTGGGGTTTCCTTTTTTCCAGTTTGATCCAGATGCCCTTCTCTGGCCGCAGGATCAGCTCTCCCACTGGCCGCAGCTCTTCACGTTTCTGACAAGCTTCAATGTTAAACTTGCGCAGAATGGATGCTAAGACCACCTTTTCTTCCATGAGTGCAAAGCGTTGACCTGAGGAGGATAACAGTTAAAGACACAGCAGTCACTCTGGAGAAAGCTTCTCTGAGGAAAGTATGCATGACAGACAGGTCTGGTAAACTGCATATCAACCCCGTCCTGTTCTTACCGATACAGTTGCGGAGTCCGGCGGAGAAGGGGAGGTAGGCATATGGAGGCCTTCCCACTGAATTCTCAGGCAGGAAGCGTTCAGGCCTGAACTCCTCAGGGTCAGGGAAGTATCGTGTGTCACGGTGGAGAGCGTAGGTAATGATGACGGCAGTGGCATCTTTGGGCACCTTGAAACCATCTACAGGTACAAAACAATCTTACTTTTAGGAAAAAACTTGCAAAGCATGTTTTGTTTCACATAAGATCATTATGAATTTTATTGCCTCAGCTTAAGCCAATAGGAATCATGGCAGAGAGATGAGAGCTGTACCAAGGAAAGCAGGGGTCAGTACAAAGATAAATCTAAGGTGTTAAAATTTGGGTCTTAATATTGTAGTTTGAGCATCATTCCTAGACTTTGAAAAGACTGTCTGATGCCCTCTCACATCTAAGGTCAATGTGAGCTTTTAGTCACAGACCATAAGATTATGCAAAGACTAGGGATCTTTCAGGTTCACTATTTGCAAGACTACCAATAGATTCCTTTTGAGATTATTTCCCATCCTGCTGCTGGTGGAAAATATAACACCCTTACTTCCAAACTCCCTGTAAGAAATGTAAGAAATATAACGTATTGCTGTAACATGTCCTTACATGTCTGCTTATGTGCTTATGTGTGCCCTATTTAAACTGCTCTGGCCTGCCTACTGTTGCTGCTTCCTCTGCAAGCCACTTTGCAACCCGCCTCCACCCCAGCTCCTCCTTTTCATGTTGTGTCTGACTTATCAATGTCATTTCTGTTTGTCACTGACGCTGGCTCTGTTCTGTTCCTAGGGGAGGTCTTTGCTGCTGCTCTCCATGCATGGAAGGGCAGAGAGGTGTGCTCTCTCTGCCTAAAGCGTTATTTATGGTCCTGCGTTAAATCAACGACGAACCTATGTCGTAGGGTAGGGCCGTAGCCCCTGGCGTAGCCTGACGTGCACCTCCTAAAAAATGTAACTACACGTTGAGGCGACGCAGACCCAGGGCAGACCGAGAGGGCTGTGATTGGTTTGCTTGGTAGCAACACATATCCGGTTCCGTATTTCCAGATTGCGCCATCCCCGCCATCTTTAAACATCTTCTGTTGCGATGTAGATGTTGCAGTATTAACATACTTTCTTCGACATCCAACAACTCCAACTCCAGCAAGATTCTACCATTCAGGAAAGGAACGCAGCCCCCTACCGCTCTGGCGGTGAATTGCACCGCAAAGAAATGGAGCGACGGAGAAGTTCGAAGGGTTCACGACGGTGTCACAGCAACGACGTAGGTACGCCACAGGACCATAAATCAGGCTTTAGGAATTGCTTTGAAGAGGCTTTCTGCATAGGCCAAGGAATGACAGAGAGGCCCCAGAACAGAGCCATGCTGCCAAATGAAAATAAAGTTTTCTTTGACTCAGGTATTCCTGACTGAACTGTATTTCATTTCATTTCATTCATTACATTTGAACAAACTTTACATTTCGGATTTTGTCACCTCATCTCGCTTTCAGCCTCTGTGGTATTTTAGTGAAAGGGTCCTGTGGCAATGAGAGGCAAATTGTTTCAAAAACTGAGATGTCTCACTAAAATAAGAGTTGGTTGGTGGATCAGATTCATGCCAAATTAAACAACTCTTGTTCACTCCACAACTCCACCAGTTTTTCCTTCTTTTCCAGTACAAGAGAACCGAGACTTATTATGTCCTCTCCATGTTTACTGTCTTGGTTTGAGGCTATTCTCACACACTGTTTGCATATTTTCCAACAGAAAGTAATGCACAAAAATTTGTACATATCCCATGTAACGATGATTCAGTAATTTGTGCATTACCCATCTATTTCTGAAGTCTGTGATCACGTGATCAATGACCTTATGGGAGTAAAGAAGGCAGAGGCAGGCTGGGGTGGTGGATGGGTCACAAAACACAGGACTTTCCCTGGGAGACTGGTGTTCAGAACCGTGTGCACTTTGAGTCATTTTAGTTTGTTTTCCTAAACCTAACCGCAGTAACTTTACTTGCCTAAATCTAACATCCGTAACTTTAAATTTATTACATAACTTTACTCTTAGGACTTAACGTCATTCATGGGTACCAATTTGTAGGATATCGTATGAACCATTAATTTTATTAGAATGTCAAGACAAGAAAAAGACTGGCTTAAGACGGCTTGAACTGAATTTTATGACCGCTTACTCTACCACACTCTCGTGATTTTATTCCGGTAGTGATACCATATTTCAGGTGTCTTAGTTTCATCGATTCTTCCATAATTCTAATGACTCTATTTTACTCCCACATCAGCTCCTATACTTTACTCCTTTAGTAACTCCACCACTTTTTAATCAAAGACCAATTTTTCTTGGCTTTCTATTACCAAATTCAACATGATCATCCATTGTAAAACACCATTCAATCTTTTGCCACATAAACTGACTATTTGCCACGTGTTGCAATCCATAGGGGCCTTGTGTTATAAATTTGATGAAACCATAAAAACTGTGGAAAAGACAGCTGCAATAACAACACACAATAAATGTTATGTGACAAAGGAACCTATTTTTCAAATGAAAATGACAGAGGAAGCCTGGCCTCCCCTGGCTTCTCATAAAAAATACCACTGCCTTGGGGGATTTGCACTCAGCAAATGAATGTTTCATTCTTGTGTCATCACTCATGTGTAACTCACTGATATGGCAGTCTTCACCGATGTTGCGGGCAAAGAAAGGCACAGAGGGATACAGTCGCAGGGACTCCTTGATCACGCACTCAAGGTATTTGAGCTTCTTCAGGTCATCTGTGTTAACAGGCCGGTCAGATTCACCTTTGCACATTAAACAGGAAACACTGATAAAGTCCTCGGCGCTAAATGCAGATAGAACAGAGTGTGAACTACTTCTTAGGTCAGACAGTTGTTATTGAAATTGTGCTGCAGTTTCCTGCCGTTGCACTTGCTCCTACTTTCATGTACTTGATGTATTATACTTATCTCTCCTTTCACAGCAGATAAGAGTTTTCTAGCATTGTACTGTTTAGGTGACACACCCCATGACTGTGCTGTGTTTATCTCTTTGAGAGAAAGAGTCAAGAGTCTTTACTGCAGTGGATTCTGTTGGCGTTGTTAGAAAACAGAAATCCTACCTAAATTAACAATGAAATAAACTGAACAAATTGATTATAAAACTGCAAGGTAATGTCAACCAAACAATAAATCTAAATTGAAAAAGAAAGATTGAATGTCACAAAATGAATGGAGGACAACTTTAGATGGCGCACACCTAGCATGTGTTATTACAACAAGGCTATCTAACTCACGTCATGGAAAACATGCATGGAGGCCATGGTGAATCCATGCAGCAGTGGATATAATTTGATTATTCTTTATGTATTTTGGCAAGGATTTTCACAGCTATTATTTCTGTGCAGGCTCCCCTCGACTTGTAAAGAACAAATGAATCTGAGCATAGATGAGTCAAAAGGCCTTTCGGGTAGGAAAACAAATGATGTCAGGAAAGCGAGAAGGCGTGCGGTGACAGGGGAGAGGGCATGTTGCTGTTACCAAACACCTCCTGAAGCTCTTGTTGAACTTTGAGGTGCACCTCAGGGTGGGAGCCCAGCAGATGTATGGCCCAGTTCATAGAGGCTGCTGTAGTATCATGTCCCTGTATAATGAGGGCAGTTAAATACTGACAAACAACACATTATTTACAATTTTAGAGCTGTATTAAGTGACTTCTTTTCATCTCCTTTTTGGCCACTTGGGGACTAAGGGAAAAAGCTACTGACTGAACTAGGAAATATAATGTTATCATATTTTAAATACGACCCCAATTCCAAAAAAAGTTGGGATGTTGTGTAAAACATCAACAAAAACAGAATGCAATGATTTACAAATCTTTTTTGACTTATATTCAATAGAACACAGCACAGAGACAAGATGTTCAAACTGATAACTTTCATTGTTTTTTTTGTAAAATATACACCTGTTCTGAAGTTCATGCCTGCAAAACGTTTCAAAAAAGTTTAGACAGGGGCAACAATAGATTAAAAAAAGCTGTGAAATGCTCAAAAAGCACCTGTTTGGAACATTCCACAGGTAAACAGGTTAATTGGTAGTAAATGATAGTATCATAAAAAGGTATGAAAGAGACATCCTCAAAAGGCTCTGTTGTTCACAATCTGTGATGGTGACTACGTGAAAAAATACAGGGGCAAACACTGCAAGAGTTTAAGAACAGTGTTTCTCAAAGTCCACTTGCAAGAATTAAGGAACTTCACCATCTATAGTCCATAATATCATGAAAAGATTCAGAGAATCTGGAGAAATCTCTGCATGTAAGGAACAAGGCTGAAAACCAGTATTGAATGTCTGCACTGCATTAAAAACTGCTATGACTGTATAAAGGATTTTACTACATGGGCTCAGGAACACTTTGGAAAACCATTGCCTGTAAACACAGTTTGTTGCTGCATCTACAAATGCAAGTTAAAGAATCTATTGTGCAAAACGCCACCAACCTCTCTGGGCCCAAGTACATCTGAGATGGACTGACACAAAGTGGAAAAGTTTGCTGTGGTCTGACGAGTCCACATTTCAAAATGTTTTTGGAAGTCATCCAAAAGCCAGCATCTGTGATGGTATGAGGGTGTGATAGAGCCCATGGCGTAGCTAAATTGATTATTTGTGAAAGCTGTATTAATGCTAAAAGATGGAGCAACATATGCTGCCATCCAGATGATGCCTTTTTTTAGAGACTTTCCATCTTATCCTGCATGTGGTACAACAGCGTTGCTTCGTATAGTAAAAGAGGTACCAGACTGACCTGCCTGCAGTGCAGACCTATCTCACATTGAAAAGGTGTGGGGCATTATGAAGCACAAAGTGCAGCAATGGAGGCCCTGGATTGTTTAACAACTAATGTATATCAAAAAAATTCACTTTCAAAACATAGACAGTTGTGTCCTTAGTTTCCAAATGCTTACTGAGTGTTGTTAAAAGAAAAGGTGGTGTTACACAGTGGTAAACATGCCACTGTCCCAACTTTTCTGGACCGTCTTGCAGGCATCAGATTGAGAATAAGCGTATATTTTTAAAAGAGTAATAAAGTTTATGAGTTTGAACATTAAATATCTTGTCTTTGGACCGTAATATAGGTCAAAAGGGATTTGCAAATCATTGCATTTTGTTTTTATTTATGTTTTAAACAGTGTCCCAACTTTTTTGGAATAGGGGTTGTAGTTAGCAAATGTTTCCCTGTTTACAGTTTACATTGAGCAGACATGAAACAATGTTAGTAGCGACTTTGTGATGGGTTTCTGACCACCTAACAAATGTGAATTGTGAATATGCAGGTAGTGTGAGAAGGAGAAAAATTAATAAAAGTGAGTTATATTTCTAACCACCAACCCTAAACATGAAGGTGTCCACTTCCTCCTGAATGTCCTGATGACTCATCCCATTGCCGTCTTCATCTGTGGTCTTCAAGAGCATGTCCAGAAATGCTCGTCTTTTCTTTGGGCCCGCATCAGAGTCGCTGTCTGATTCAGTATTGGAAATGTTCTCCGCCCTTTCATGTATCACCTGAGATAAAACGGAGGTCAAGTTTAACGCTGAGTGTTCATCTCTTTTGTGTGGATTCTGCTTTGTGCTCAGCATCCATGGATTTTCGAACCACTGGCTTCGTCACTCACTTTGTATGTAAAGGAGTGCAGGATCTTGAGTGTCTTGTCATGTTCTCGGCCCGTACCAAAAAAGTAGTACACGAAGTCAGGCCAAAACCAAGGTGTCCTCTGTCTGTGGCTGATAATGTCACTCATTCTAAAGACAAAGTTAGGAAGAAGACAAAACCATGTCATAACTGATCAGATAAATGTTCACTTATTATTTGGGTGATAGAAAAGAAAATGAGAAGAACTCACTTGTACACGCACTTCACATACTCTGAGTCAGAATTACTCTGGGCATAAATTTTCTTTCCCATTGCAGTTTCTGAAAAGATATCATTTGTTGGACACCTTTCTTATTGTATACAGATAAGTCAGCATCTGTTATGTATGTTAGGCTCATCCATATATGCACACATTCACATTCCCGTACACTTACCACAGATGATGTCCAGGGCACACAGCGTTATATAACTGAAGCAGTCGAACGGACCCTTCCCCACCTGCTTCTCCAGCTTCTCCACCAGTATCTCTGACTGCTCGTTCATCACTTCCAAGAAGTCTGTCAGGATGGAGAAGTGGAAGGTGGGAGTCAGCATCTTCCGCCGCTGACGCCATTTACTCCCAGTGCTGATCAAAAGAATAAGACATCGAAGAGGATTAGAGGGTAAAGGTGTGGTCAGACCAAACGTGAAGTGAATTTTCACCTTGCGTACTTCCTCGAATACAGCAGCTGGAGTGTGTTTTGGAGTCTTTCGCAACCTGTGAATATTTGTCCTTAACACCCAATGGGAGTGCGCCTTAACAATTGTGCTAACTAACCAGGGAAAGCAGCTAATGATAAAATTAGCGCTAACTTGGTTCATAGTAAAGTAAACTTTTTTGTTCTTTCTGTTTGGTCTACAGTACTGACATTGAGTAGCAGAGTTTCAGGTGACCACTGACGATAAGACGAGACAGCGACAACAGTTTGTCCTCCATTTCTAATTCTATGTAACGTCAGGAAAATCTCAATGCTGATCGGCTTTTGCGACATAGCCTCATTTCAGTTTAAACATTTCAACTCAGCGGACACATGTATTCATGTCTGTTTGTATCTTTGCATTAGGGTAACCAGATCCAAACAAGCCAAATGTGGGACAAAGAGTATGTTTTGTGGGGCAATGTGGGACATGTTACCAATGCTGAAAGGTAGTCTAAAATGTTGATATTATGTCTGAAATGTGGCATTTGCCCAGGGTAAAATTTAAAAATATCTGTGGAAATTTTGAAAAAACAAACAAACAAACAAAAAACGCTGATTATCATCTTAGTTATTCAGTTATACGTAGTTTCCCATTCTTGTTGTAGCTGCATTTCCTTTCCCTTGTAGTAGTTTCAAACTTATTCTGCCTAACTCTGCATAGTTTATGACTTTGTCAAAATTCACCACATTAGGTAGCGTAGCAAAGACATCGAAAGCCACTCTGTGATAACACACTTCCCTGCTTTTTCACAGCCACTGGATAAAAGCCAGATCTTTGAAGGGCATCTGTCCTGTAGTGGTTTGACCTTTGAAAACTGGAACCAGTGAAATTGTGGGGCATCGTTTCAGTATGTGGGATGTGGGACAAGGGATTGAAATGCTATGCAGCTGGTCACCCTAGTTTGCACTGACTTTGTATTTAAGTAGGGCTAGAAAATAAGGCCGACACAGAAGTGATTAAAAAACTGCAGTTCATTGAATGGCCACTTGAGGCCGACACCAGAAGTCAGTCAATCCCCATAGACCTCCATGTTAAAATGCCCAACTTCACAGCAGATACAAACGTGTTTACAGCCAAGTAAGCAAAAGAAATAGAAAAAAAACAGCTTGGGCTCCATAGCTAATTTCATGACATTTTCATTTTAATGTCATTTAAATTTATAAAAGCTTAAAGTTATGCATAATTAGGGGTGCAGCTGCATTGAGTGACAGACTGTCTGCGAGGCATCAGCACAGTCTTGAGTCAGCTCCACTCTCTCATCTAAATATGCTCACTTCTGACTCCAAAAATCTAAGATGGTGACAGCCAAAATACTGAACTCCAGGGCTCATAACAGTAGTCCACACACCCATGGACGATGCCACGGTGGCTGTGTCCATTATTATATGTAGTCTAGTTGCCTGAGTTTATGCTTATTCTTGCCGTTTTCATCTTTTTCTGAGAATCACTGACAGACTTTTAATATTGCACATGAGAGCAACAGGTAAATACCTAGTAAGAAGGCCAGTTCCAAGCCAAGGGTGGAGGAAATTGTATGACATGCTTTTCTCCATGTGAACAGCATTGGTCACAATTGTCTAAAAATGACAAGAAATAAAGAAAGAGTTAGAGGAAATAAACAAACAGGAAAGCAGAACTCTGGAATGATGAGGAGCAACACTTAGTTAGCAGTCACAGTGACAGTAAGTTGTTTCAAATGCATGAAAACCCTTCTATAGTTTGGTGTTATAGCTTATATCTGTAGAAAACACTTTGTAACAGCTTCACATATCATCATGAATCAAAATGATAATACTTACTCCTATTCATGTTACTGAGAGAACTTGCATCAACGGCATATTTTCAGTATTAGGCATGTTACATTTCATAAGTTGCACCGTCTGTATGAATACTTGGTGGTGTTTTCAGTCGGTGTACCTCAACAGTTTCAGCATGAAACAGAACCACAAATGGGACAGGTCCAACCCAGAGTGTAAACAGCGGTGCATCTCGGAACTCACGCGTAAAATCCTCAATCTGATGAAAGAAATCTGAAACAAATGCAAAAAAATCTATGTAAACAGTAATGAAGTATTAAGTAGGCAATCAGAAAATAATTTTCCAGCCTATGTGGCCTCTTGCAGCAGCGTGTTGATCGCTTTCTTACCTCCTGCATTGGTTTTGAACTGCAGTGCATTTCCAATAAAGGGATACGTCCCTTCTGCCTGTGGGACAGGCCTCAACATAAACCATTTGTGCAGGTAACTGCTGAGCAGCTTGTAGGTGATGTAAGTCAGAGCTGCTATGAAGATGCTGATTCCAAGCAAGGGCGTCGAGTAACCACCAAGTAAAACTGCCATCTTTCTGCTGTGTGTGTGCACAGCTTGTGTGTTTTTAAAGGCAGCAGCAGACTGTCTTCCTGTGACTAAATGTGATTGAATGGGACTTTTGCCCCTCCGTTTTCTGCAGACAACCCACCGACAGCGTACTGGGTGAAAGGTGGGGGCACTGTATTTATTGTCAGTTATTGCTCTTGGGCATTGTATAGATTGCTATGAAAGAGAAGATTCACTGGATGTGGGTAAACATGAATTTAAAATGTGAAAAAGAAAACAACAGATTAAGCCAGTAAAAGTTGGCACAACTTATTGGGATGTTAATTATTAACTTATAAAATTGACTTGGCCTAACCATGGCCTCTGGTATCTGTCAGCACTGTGTTATGTATCATCTGACCTATTTGGTTAATAAGTAACAGCCTTATCTTAGTGCCAGGTATGCTTTATAAGTAAACATATTCCAATAAAATGAATGTATACTATGAAACTTATAAATTAATCTTTACCCTAAATATCTATACACACACACACTATATATATATATATATATATATATATATATAGTTTATATGTTTGTGAATAATTTATGAGAGTAATTGTTCACTATTTTTAAATTAATGTGTGTGTTTTTCATTCTCACACGATAGGTATTGGACAAGCTGTTAGGGCCAATAAAAGTGTCTGCTTCCCTCCCTGATAACTCTGTTCCTGACTTTGTGGCGAAGACTTTAACAAATCATGCAGACCTTCATGTTGGGACATTGCTCAAAGTGTAATTGAACAGTAAACAAATTAAAATGTGAAAAGTTATTTTAGCAAGTGTATTGAACTTTTTTTTTGCAGTACTCAAAACCTCAGTATTTCAAACATCTAAAATACTTTGAGTTTGGCTCTGACCTTGATATTGCCTTTATCTTGCTGACATAGCAAGGAGAAATGGAAGAGATCTGAATTGTAAATTTGAAGGTTTGCACAGTTTTGTCAATAGAGTATTTTGATCACATTAATTTAAATTTTGTTGGTGCTTTATACTGTGACTGTATTTTTGAATGTGTAGTGTTTTGTTTTGAATGTAGCCTACTTTTGGAGGTAACTTATTTTTAAGTTCTCAAAGTGGAACAATTCAATTCAATCCAACAGATCTTTATTTATCCTGAAGGAATTCTTGTGCTACAGAATGCTTCAAATTACAGTAACACTAAGTACAGTAACCACAATTTAACGCTCACAACCAGTAACAACCAGACAACCAGTGGTTTCCCCGGGTCAGGTTCACTCACTGGGCCACGTTTTATGACAACTGAGTATTAAATATCTGTCAGAATATACAAATATACAAGATAGGTATATCAGGTGTTTTCAAGTAGCAAAAGCAAAACCGGTGCCTAATTGAGTAACAATAGGAGTAAGATCAGTACAACATCGCCTAAACAAAGAATTCCGGTGTTATTCCCTTGTCTTAGGAACATGAGCTACTCTCTCTTAAAGCCGAAAACCAGAAAAGAAAGTCTCAAACTAGTGATGTCATCAAATATATTCTGCAGCTGCTCCACTGACAATGAATTGGAGCCTGATTTTGTGGACACACAGAATGTTTGTTGTCTTTTTCATATCCAAATGAGCTTTGTTGTGTTGCAGTGTTCTCAGCTGTGAAACAGAAAATGTTCCTCTGGGTGCTCTCAGCGTCATCAAGAACATCTTTCCCTATTCATTGTTCAGGGAGCAGCTCCAGATTTTACACTTGATGACAAATTTGAGTTTTAGCATTTTAGCTTTTGGATTTGTGAGAGTTGTTCATGTTTACTGAAATGTTTTAGACTGTCTTAGACCGTAGGACTAACAAGTTTGATTTTTCAAAATGGACATTTTTTCCCCTTTAAAGAGTAAAGTGCAGATACTTTATGTTACATTTGTGTGGGGCCACTCTGTTGTGATGTGTGCTGAATTCAAATTTTAAACACAGGGATATGAGAAACTGTAAGATAATGTAATGTTAATAATTAAATAAGATATGAGTAGTGGAGACAGGTATGGTAAATTAATTTTATTGCAATGTCTGTGTATGTGTACTTCAATACTTAATACAAGTTTCTTCTTAATAACTGTGGATTGTGTAATATGTATTGAACACATTTGTGCATCAGCTATGTATGTCAATCATTAGCAGTAAGACATTCAGTATTAACACGGTCTACTCTGCATGGCCAGTGATGGTGTAGTTTCTCACTCTGACCACTAGATGTTATGATAACACAATATTTGGTCAGATTTTGAGCAATTCATTCTTTGCTCTTGAAGAAAAATAAGCATTTCCTCCCCAAAAGTGATCACTGCAATGCTAAGATTACTGTGTAAAAATAGACAAATAACTGCATCAGCTAACTTATATGTTTAAGTCATGCTTTACCATCACATTACAAGACTGATATATATAATTTAATTGGGTTCATTTACAATATTTTACAAGCCAGAAACTATAGCAAACACTTTATTAAGAAATGACATCATTAAAACTGCACTTGAAATACTTCATTTTAAATTCTAGATTTTTTACACTGTACATTGCATATGCAGTAAATGACTGTTTGTGTAACACATCAGAGAACATCAACACTGTTGTACACAGATGTTTAAAAATAACATCTACACAAAAAAAACAAAAAGAAAAAAAAAGATCATGTCATTAAATGTGTACCATTCCCTCATTACCATCACAGAATCAGCGTGCAGGCCTACATTTGCTGAGTCATAATAAACTGTGTAATATTCAAGTTGAAATACTTGAAGAACATGAAGAAGAACATAAAACTGGGCTGTCTATGCATCAGAAAGACGCAAATCCTTCTGATATTGGTGCTACGTGAACAGAGAAAACAGAGGCAGTGGTATTCATTTTTTTGCTCCAGAGGTAGAAAACCTGAAAGTACCAGAATGCACTGCACTGCACCGGACCAATAAACGCTCCCACTGGTGGGTGATGTAAGGTCAGTTGGCTGTTTTTCCACAGGAAACAATATTGCAGCCAGCAGGTAACAAATGACCTTGAATTACAGTTAAACAGTGAGTTAAAATATGTTTCTGTTAACATCTTAGGTGAGAAAGAGGCAATGCAGTGACAGAGTCTTGGTTCATTTCTGATCAGCAGTGATTAGTTTTACTGTTCAGCCTCTCTTTTTACAACAGGAAACAGTACAGCCCCAACGTCCTGTTCACAAATTCCCATATTAGAGTCAAAAAGTGCACCAAAATGTGTTTCTGAAGATGTTTCCAGATGAGAAAAGGACAATACAGTAACAGAATCTTGTTTTTTTTTTTTTAATTTGATCAACACTGCCTAGGTTTACTTTTTGATCTGAGTTTGGTCTGCATAAAGCCCAGTCCAGACAAAAGATCTACAACGAGACAAGTTGAAATGTACAACTACATGCAATGCACCACACTGCAACGTTCTAAAAACCTGATGGTCCACACCAATGTAACTAGATGAGATGGAGTATCATCTCTATGCAACAACTCTCTGTACTCCCGTTCTGATTTCTAGCTTTTCAGGCTTATTTTGTGGCTGAATACAATTTGTAGCTTCTTAAAATATGAATGGGGATAGTGATATTGAGATACTGGCTGCACTTGCATTTGTAGTTGTGATGAAATGGCAAAAAACAAACAAAACGAGCATCAGATGGACTGTATTCAATAATAAATATGCCACAACAATATGAGTAAGCAGCGCCAATTAATCAGTCAATGAGAATGTGTGTGTGTGAGGGAGCATAAGCACATACAGCGAGCAGCAGCAGTGGCCTACCGTCCGACACCAGGACACGTGAGGGTGGAAACAGAGGGCTCGGCGGGAACAAAGCAACTGCGGGAGCAAGCAAGGCCGCGGACTTCACCGGGGGACTTCCCTACAAGCCGATTCGCTGTAGAAACAGGTGACGTGCTTTCTAAAACCGTTCTAAAACCAGCTGACGGCAGTTTGACCAGCTGAGTTGCAGGTGACACCATCAGCCAGTTTGAGTCAATCCCAGATCGGCCAGTTCACACCGCTGCAACGATCTGAAACGGTTTTGTCTAGTCGCAAATCCATGGTCTGAATTGGGCTTTAGAGAGAAAGTTAGAGAGAGGGGTGGTTTTCTCTCTCACTCTGCGTCTATACTCTTTGTGTCTGTGGTGCAAACGAAAATGCAGAAGTAAAATCTGTAGTTGGAGCAACAGCCCTGGAGCCAGCGCAGATTTGAGCCTGGAGATGAGCAGGGAGATCCAGGCACTGATTAGATGGAGGGGAGTTTACCACAGTTCATTCACACATACTACTCTAATTGTTATGATACAAAGCTGGTTGAAAATCGGCAAAATATCCCTTTGAGCACAATATTTACACAGAGAGCCAATGAACTGATCATACATTGGTTATTATTATTATTATTATTATTATTGTTACCAAGGGAATTTCCCATTCCTACCAATGGAACGCAGTCACTCCTTTAAACGATTAGTCATGCCAAGTGCTATGAGGAGCTTCTGGTGAAAGGCTGGCACCCTCTCCCTCTCCACAGGCCAGTCCAGGACGCAGCATGGACGCAACATGCCCCGGCGGAGGAAGAGTGAGTGAGATAACTTGTAGTCATGTACGTCCTGCAGGAAAACCAGAACCACAGAGTCCCTGCTGGCTTCAATGACCTGGTGAAGTGCGTGATGGGCTTTAAATCTGGATAAGGAAAGAGATAAGGGTAGAAAGGCAGAGAGGGGAAACTGTGAGAACTCACTTTGTTTGTATAATCTATAATAATATATAAATCTAGCAGTGTATGTTTGACTTACCGTCTACACCAGGGATCTTTGAGAAGAGTTTCAGTGACCACAAACAAGATTTTTCTGGACCTTCTCATATTATCCACGATGGATTCAAGCTGGGACATGCCAGGGACCGAATCGCGATCCTCCAAACAAAACCTGCAGTTGTTGTTCTCTAAGGGCACCATCCTTCTCTCCACCCAGCTGCTGTCTTCCTCTGCATGTATGACGTAAGCATCGTACTCAAACTCCCTGCCCTCTTCAACTGTGGCGTCGCTGAATCCTAATGTGCGATTGATCAGTATGTTCCAATAAAACTGGATCCTCCAGCCGTGGAAGCGCACCATAAGCGAAGTGACCATCAGCATGATGACAGCAGTGCTGCTCAATATGTACAGAGCCTGAAATGGGGTCATATCTTTGCAAGAGAGGGCGTCAAACTTCATGATGGGGTGGTTGTAGTAAGCCAGTGGAGTGTTGCATGTATACTGGTCCCTGAGGCCAGGCACTGTGGTCATATTTGTGTTATTCAACCATGTCACGAACCACAACATGCTCTCACACGTGCAGTCAAATGGATTTTTGTCCATGACAAGCAAGCTGAGGTTGCTCAGAGGAGTTTTGAACACTTGGGGCCTCACAGTTGTGATCAGATTCTTCTGTAAATTTAAAACCCGCAGTGACTTCAAATCATCGAAAATGAACTCCTGAAGACTATTAAGGAGGTTGGAGGCCAGGCTCAGGTTATGGAGGTCACTCAACCCTCTCAGAGCCTCTGCTGGGATCTCATCCAGCCCGTTACTATCCAAATCTAAGATTAACAACCTCGGTGTATTTTTGAGGAACAACACTGGCCCACCTAGGTTGGCACTCTTCCACAAACGAGCTAAGTTATTGTGTTGGAGCTTCAGTACCTTCAGGTTCACAAGCCCCTCGAATGCATTCTCTCTGATGTTAGCAATGTTGTTGTTACTGAGATCCAGGTAGGTGAGGCTTGGAAGGTGACGGAATGGAGAGGGATCACAGTTCATGGCTTCTGCTATAAGGCTTCTTCCAAGAGTCAGGACCCTCAAATTGGGCACATTAACAAACGAGTCAGAGCTCAGATTGACTTTCTGGTGGTTACTGGACATGTAAATCTGTTCAACTTGGTCCAGGCCTTCGAACTCTTCGCCAGTGAGATTCTGCTTGATAAAGTTGTAATCTAGCAGAAGTGTGGTGAGGTTTCTCAAAACGGAGAAGCTTCGAGGATTAATCTGTGCTATAGCTGTTCCGGTGAGATTTAACTTTCTGAGAGGCGACCCCGCCAGTGAGATGAACGTCTTGTTGGAAATGTTTCTGAGTGATGTATAACTACTCCAGCTCATATCGAGTTCTTTCAGACTTGTCAAGCCTGTGAATGTGTGCTCTGTGATGTTACGAACTGCAGTTCTCTGTAAAATCAAACTCTCCAGGGCACTTAAGGGTTGGAAGGAGAAGTCATCGATAATCGGGATGGGATGACTGCTCGCTAGAGCATTAGTCAGTTGGAGTTTTTCCAAGCTTTTGAGTCCCTGAAATGTGTGCTTGGTCAGATGCTTCATGTTGTTGTCTACCAAAATCAGAGTCTGAAGTCTGGACAGCCACCGAAATGAGCCTTCTTCAATTTTGACCATGCCATTACCGGACAGCTCCAGAAAGGTTAGATTTGTTTTCTGTAGTCCTGTAAAGGTTGTGTTTGTGAGGGTGACCAGCTTCATCTTCCGGAGAAAAAGAGCATCAATGGCTGTCTGTGACAGCTCTGAGCAGAGCTTAGAAATGACCTGTGGGCCCATATTGCTTCCATCCATGACTAAAGTACGTAGGCCTGAAATGGGCTGAAAGCAACCAGGCTCCAGCTGCAACAAAACATAACAAAGAGATCATGCAGTGACACAAAAAAGGGAAACAAAACAGATAACTGAAAGCAAGGTGACAATAACTACTTTCTGACACTAGTTACAATTTTGTTAAAACAATTTCATTTCCCATTTCTAGGTAAGTTTCTCACCGTTTTTAGAGACACATGCGACATGTTGAGGACTTGTAGGGAGGACGAATGGTTAAGAAACAAAAAGTCATCTGTCTCTAGAGTGGTGAAGTCATTGCGTGCCAGATTGAGGCTCACGAGGTTGGGCAGCTGAGGCTGAGAGCCGAGCTTGGCTGACTTTAGTTTGTTCAAGGAAACATCAAGAACTCTCAGGCTCTGTGAGTGATGAAAGGAGAAGAGAAATTACTATTTACTTAATTGTCTCATTTCTGTCGTCATCACCATTATTGCACCCTAGCTCATGAGGCATTTAATCAGTTCCCATCCAGGTAATGATTCAACTCATCAATGTAACTGACATCTGTACCTGTAGTGCAGAGAAGGGTTCTCCTTGTAGCTTTAGTTTATTGCTAGTCATAATCAGCCATGTTAGATTAGTGCAGTGGCTCAGTTCCTCCTTCTTCAGCACATACACTTGATTGTGTCCCATGTTCAGGGTCTTCAGCAGAGGCAGTGTCTGGCACACACCCTGGTCCAGCTTGGTGATACTGTTGTGACTGATGTTGAGGTGGAGCAGGCCTGGGTATGGGGTTAGTGATCCAGGGGGAAACTTTGTCAATCTGTTGTGAGACATATCCAGGCTGGTGATGTTCCTGGGCAGGTCTTGAGGGACCGCACTAAGGCTGAGGTGGCTGCAGTCAGCTTGGCCATTTTGCACTTCACAGGAAGTCTTCTTCTGGGAGGTCACACAATTGTGCGGCCCCGTCATACAGTAACATATGATGATCACCGCCGAGACGAGAAGGGAATAGGGGGCCCTCATTGTTTCAAAAACCTTTAAAAAAAGAGAGATAGAATAAAATTTACGTAGGCCATAAAAACATTTTTTTGCAACAACTTAGGGGCAGCACAACAAGAACAACATCGAGATCTTATCATCTTATAAGGCAAACATGTTAGCGAGCAGTGACTCAAAACAGTACAGTTTTGGGCCATAAAACCAAGACAATGAGCTAAAAGACGCTAAAACATTTCATAGTGGTGAGGTAGGGCTGGGCGATACGGCCTAAAAAAAAATCTCCAATTTTTTCACAAAAAATCCGATTCACAATTTAAATCGATTTTTTCCCCTCCTAGTTAAAAAAAAAATAATATTTGCTGCCTGGTAGCACATACCTGGAGTCCAAAACTTTCAGCATTTCCATGGTAGCCTATATATGGGCACCACATCTCTTGTACTATACATTGCGACTGCATCTGTTTTCGCTTTCCACCGGACCCCTTTTTTACCATACGGCAGTGTTTCCCCTACCATCATATTGGATCACAACAGAAGTCATTTAAGGTTACCTTTCCTATTGAACAGGTCTATACCTTGTCCTTTTATTAAACAAACTAAATAGCCTTATGTTACAGGCTGGGCCTGATGTGTGTGGCTTGTGTGTGTGTGTGTGTGTGTGTGTGTGTGTGGAGCTGTGTGTGTGTGTGTAGTTCATGTAGAAGGTATGAGACATTACTTAGCGGGCCGGGTGTGGTGTGTGACGTCAGACGGATGCGCCCCAGGAAGAAAGTGAGGCATGTGCTATGTTTACATCGAGCAGCCACAGTGAAGAAGCCTACGCAGTTCTGCATGCTGTTTTTGAGTTATTTCCCTCTATGTAAAAGTCAGACACTGATGAGAGAGGCTGTGCATCATCCCTGCAGTGCTGAAAATAAAGTGCCATTCATTAACACAGACAAAGTCCAGTTGTTTATGTGTTGTTGCAACAACAAGCTAACACAAGCTAAAGGAGCTAATGGTCTTCGGAGGTCCCTTTACTACGGTTCGGGGGTCTGCCAGCTTGGCGTTGGTAATACTTATTTATCTAATTTACACAACGGCATGTCATTTATGTCCCTACACAGTGCGCATCTAAAATCCTCCTCTGCTCTCTGTGTCGCACACGGCGGAGTTCGGCCCTGATGCGTGAGCACAGACACAGACACAGGTGAGCACACAAAAGCGCTGAAGAACTCGTTCCCTTTCTTGAGAGCGAGTTCTTCCCCGCTCGCTGCCATGTTGTTTGTGTATCACGTGCACGGGGGGAGGGGTGAGCCCACTCTGAACTACGGGAGCCCAGTGTGGAGCGGCGGTGGCGGATTTTAAATAGAAACTCGATTTTCATTAAAACAAATCAACCTAAACTACAAATTCGAATTAATCGATAAAATCGATTTATTGCCCAGCCCTATGGTGAGGGTAACTGAGTCCTGTCGCGTGATCATTTTCTATGGATTCATCACTATAAGCTACATTTTTTTAATTTCATTTTATCAAGGGATGTACGATATATATCGGGCCAATAAAAGGACATTTTAAATATTACGCATTTTTCCAATCGTTACAATTATAGCCGATAAATAGCACTGATAATACGAGGCCAAACTGCTTTCTTTGACCTAAGAAAGGCAGCATCTACACACCCTGAGACTGCGGGTGGTGTTACATGTATATTCAAACTTGGTTTGCAAGCCCCTAATAAACAGAGATGAAGAACAACAACAACTGCAGCACGCTGTCTAGAGGACAAAACATGTTGCAGTGTGGACGTCTTTCACAGTTCCAGAGGAAGACAACAGGATTGTGCCACGGGTCAGATCTCCGACCGCCCAACACAGGTTAGACACTGCGCTGAAGGACCATCTCCAGAGTGTTAGCATGAGCTAATTAGCAGCAGCGGCTTACATCCAACACCAAGCTTTTAAAAGGCTCGACTTAGGGTTACTTAAGGTGCTGACACACCAAACCAACATCAAAGAACTAGTGGCGACGAAAGCCAACTGTTGCGTCGTCTACGTCGCCTCACGTCGCCCTGTGTCAGTTGCATTTGAACACACTACAAAGACTACATCTGACGGCCAAGTAGCACGTACGTTCTGTGCCTGCATGAGAGGAAATAATGCAAAAAGGGAAACCGGAAGTCTGAGGAATGCATGAGATAAACAAAGTAGTGGAGTGAGGGAGTGGTACATCCTGTCAGCTGAAGAGGTTTCCTGTCTGTGCAGCCGAGCACTGCAGCACCTCCACGGACTATTACATACAGACGGTGGGAAGTGGCAGCGGATCTGTTGGGCAGCTGAGTGAAGTGGAGCCTGAGGAGGAAGAACCCGTTAGCCCTGGGTTCACTACAGGCAGATTTACTCGCTACAGGGGCGAGGAAATAAAACCTGAACAGCCAATCAGAGTGATCTCTCTCACCGACAAGCTCCGCCGCCGATTCAACATGCTCAATCGGCCGAAAAGCCGCCGACACTGACGTCAAAGTGCCAACGGTGCTGGACACACCGCAAAAAGTAGGCCGACAGACGCTCACCAACGGCCCAACTTTGACCAACGGCCAACCGTCGGCTTGGTGTGTCAGGGCCTTTAGGGTTATATGGGGGCAGGGGCATTGAGGGTAGGCCATATGACAATACCCCCAAAAATCGCCCTCTTTTCCACAGCCTAATGTTGGCAGGTATGGAAGAGTCACAGCTGTTCTTTGTTTTTGTTGTGTTAGCAAGTGATGTCAGTTTGATTTGGTTAGGTCAGGGCTATGGAATATTAAATCATCCATATTTTCTCACAACATCTTAGCCTTTCTTACCCTCAGGTGTAATTATTGGTTATCGGTACTGACTGAAAAAATCCATATTGGTGCATCCCTCATTTTATCTGTTGTATATTTCAAATACTGATTAATGCTGCTTTCATATACAGAATTTTAAAATCAATGTGTCACTCATTGTTGAGGAAAAAAGTTTACAAAGATTATGTTATGACCTACTTGTGGTCCAAAGTCTTGCTCTTCTCTACCCTGGTCTACTCTGCTCTACTCTACTATGCTCGCTCTACTATACTCTTTTCTGCTCTGCTCTACTCTACTCTATAATCTGCTCTACTCTGCTCTGCTCTACTCTACTCTGGTCTACTCTATAATCTACTCTACTCTACTCTATTCTGCTCTACTCTGCTCTGTTCTACTCTGCTCTACTTTGCTCTACTCTACTATACTCTTCTCTACTCTGCTCTACTCTACTCTATAATCTGCTCTACTCTGCCCTACTCTACTATGCTCTGCTCTACTCTACTTTGCTCTTCTCTACTCTGCTATGCTCTACTCTACTATACTCTGCTCTACTCTATTCTGCTCCGCTGTGCTCTACTCTATACTCTGCTCTGTTCCACTCTACTCTGCTCTACTCTGCTCTGTCAAAAATTAAATTGTTTTATTGACCACAAAACATTTGTCTTTGTAATATTCCCACCATAAGGCATACATTTGAGGAAATATGATGCAACCTTAAAAACAGAATAATGGTCAGTACCGAAACAGGACAGTCACCACCAAAACAGTGCAGTCACTACCGAAACACTGGGTGTTTTGTAAAAAATAAAGTATATTATTGAGTTATCAACTAAAGTATATGATGCTATATGTTTCGGTAGTGACAAATTTTGGGAGAGGAAAAACATTCCAAAACAGTCTGAAAATACAATATAAAAATTTACAGTCATTTTACTAGATATGTGACCTTTACATATGCTAAAATATATATAGGGATAAAGTTTTGGAAATAAAACATACAAAATTTCAAAATATTTCCAGCCTAACTTTGCACACATTCGGTAGAATGCCCCATTTAGGATATAATACCTGCAGAGTTCTTACCAGATTCGGCCTTTGCATATGATCTGCTGCATTCAGACGTCACAGACTTGGAAACGAGAGCACTGTGTACCAGCACCACAGTATCCAGTGTGTTCTTCAGGAGAGCCGACAAGAGTCTCAGTGGGATCTTATGAAACCCACACTGCAACGACAAGGCAATAAAACAAGGAAATGAGAAATATGAGAGTCCGGTTTCACTTCCACAGTTTTGTCTCGAGCCACTGGATAATTTAACTGTTTCACGCAGGAGGATGAAGACAACTATTGGGAAGTTTGAATGAAATTCACACTAACCTCCTACAAAGCAGACTAAATCCACTGTCATTAAGAAGGTCATCTTCTGATTATTTAACATTCCCTATGTTCGATGTAATATGGCTCGAGACATCGGGAATATTTTGGTGAGGTGTGGTGTAAACAGGCAAAGCTGTGCAGGCACAAAATGGAACAGACACGTAGCTGAAAGGTAAACACTGGATCAGTACCGTAATGTGTGTATGTGTGTGTGTTAAATAAGTTCAGGGCGATTTCAAAAGCGCAGCACTTAAATAAATACCGTAACTTTACGAGTAGACGTGCAACACAATGTGGAGCAGCAAGTCTGGCTGTAGTGTTGCTGTGAATAGTGTTATTTAATAGCTATAAAGCCTCTGATACGTTTGAAATAAATGTATTCACCTGACACATACACGTATGTGTGTATGTGCTGTCTTATTGGCTATATATTGTTTTAATAGTGTTTCAGGTATTTTTAAACCCTTCAAGAGATGTCTTCTGGAAACTGCATGACTGTGCTCCACACCTAAACTCCTTTGTGTCTGAATTCTGTAGTTAATAAGAATAAACTTGTCTTCAATACATGACGTGTCACCATTTCTAGAGGACAGGTAAGTCCAGTTTTGCTCTGAAATGCCAGGCACTCAGTCAACTCAAAGGCTATATTTAAAGAGGAGCCAGGTCCAGCCCTCATGATGTTACCTGCTACCTTTTTTTTTTTCTAGAACTCCTTAACAAGGCCTTTTGGTCTCAGGGGGCTCAAAACCAGTTTTTTGGGAGTTCAATGGTGTTCATTATGTCTTTAGTTTCTGATAATGACTTTAGTTGTTCTTTTATCTCAGACATGTTAGGATGTTACATACCTTGACAGAAAGGTCACTTGAAAGGTCACTTGAAACACTTCTGAGGAATGTCAAGGTATGTAACATCCTAACATGTCTGAGATAAAAGAACAACTAAAGTCATTACCGTTTTTTGGGATATGTTTCTTGCAAAATGATGTAAATGCAGTAAAATTAGGGCACTACGATGGCATAAATAGTCATACAAGTATGACATTTGGCAAGGAGTATCCTGACATAAAGGGGGAAGTAGCAAAATGAGATTCTGGGGCTTGTTCCTATTTCATTTCAAAATATCACACACAACACCCCCCCCAAAAAAACAAAACTGTCTGTTTGACAAATTCTCATCAAAAATGATTATTTTTCATCACTCATTGTGTAATATCACTGCTTCACTTGTACACAGAAAACTTCCCAATTTGATAAGCTTCACTTTGAGCCCAAGTTGACCTTTCTATGTTGAAAATTACACTTGCTTTGGCCTAAGTTTGTCACTATACCTCAAATCAGAGACAACAGAATTTTCAGTCACTTCCAGAGAGTCTACTTGCAAGCAAAAGGGATAGTTCAGTTTTTTAGGTGGGGTTGTATGGGGTACTTAACCATAGACAGTGACATACAGTGGATGTCAATTTGGCAAGCCCCTACTTTGGAGAAGCAGGCTGGAGAAGGCTGACACAGAATCTAAGCAATGCACTGCTTTGGATAGGGTTGGCAAGAAAATGTATTTAAACCACCAAAAAAAGTCCAACCTAAAAGAATCAACATCAGTTTACATGAACGCTATATGAAGTGTATTTTTACCTTTACCATCAGATGGCCAGTTTTGACAGGGGAGCTATTGACAGCTTCAGTACCCCATCTATGCACCTATCAAAGTCACCAGACTCCATTGACAAAAACAGTAATTTTACCTTGCTGAAAATAAGAGCTGCTGGTCTACCGCTGCTTTGATCAGTTAGTTAGTTTGTGTTTTTGTGTGACTTTGGTGAATCTGAACTAACCCTTTTAACCTCCAATGTCACACAATAACACAAACTAACTAACTAAACGAGGCAGCGGTAGGCCAGCAGCTCCTGTGTTCAGCAACCAAAAATTACTGTTTTCTCAATGGAGTCTGGCTTTGAAGAAAACAACTGAACATCTTTATTTTCCCATTGAAAATCACTGTCTGACATTAAGGTGAAGCATACTCTTAATTACAGTGCACCCTTCAACTGATGTTGATTTTTTTTAGGTGGCTAAAGTATGTTTTGTTGCTGATCCCTCCACAGCAGTAGATTGCTTACCGTTCCATGTCAGCACGCCCCCCCCAACCCCCAAACACACACACCCTTACTTCCTGCCATTGAAATTCTAAAGCAAAATATGTACAAATTCACTTAATGAAATGAATCATCCTCTCTCTTCTCTGTTTTTCTTAGGCATTGAAGTTATTAAACCAAATCAAAGAGGGGGGTAATGTCAACTTCATGAGAAAAAGGAAAGAAGCATTTTGGATTTTTTAATCTGAAAAGTCTCTCCCCACAGGGTATGAATGAGGATTTTTCAATTAGTGTTTTATGTGTGTTTTATCTAGTGTATTTATAATATCTCTGGACCAGTCTTACAATGCTTACTATGATACTATCTTTTTACCTTTTAATATTTTATTATTTTTTGCTGTCTTTGCTCGCCCTTTTTTTATTTTTTATATTTTATTTTTAATTTCTATTTTTATTATTATTATTATTATTATTATTATTATTATTTATTTATTTTATTTTTTACCTTTTTGTAATTTTTGTTCATTTTTTCTGTATAGCACTTTAAATCCCCTCATGCTACTGCTCTCTAGTTCACGACCAAACATGGTGTTTTCTATACCTCTGCTAGATACCCCCCTTACTTCTCTGGCAGTTCTGGTTGGTGCAAAGGATTCATGTGCTTCCAACACGCTCACCTTTATTAGTGATTCATTGGCTGAGATATATATATGTGGATGCAAAGGATTGGTCACATGCATGCATTTTTTCCCTAATCTTTCAGTTTCAAATGAACCTATTTAAATGATGTGTGCAATATGTTTCTTGATGACCCTGATGAAGGCCACAAGCCGAAACGCGTCAGTCAATAAAGTTTTTTTTCCATACCATAAGTGTTGCTGGAGCTCTTTTGACATTTTCCAGTGTTTCCTCACTCTCCATGCACCTTGTGAATTGGTGAAGTTGTGCCAGAAACCACTTTCTACCTTACAGCAGTCTGGCAACAAAGCTGATGGCATCCATGGCAACCAGCCTTGGCATTCTGCTACGGCAACTCCACTTGGACAAACCACACGCAGAACTGCAATACTTGAACCAATAGTAATAATAACGGGGATTTGTTATGTTTAGTTATAATTACGATGATTACATTATTTCGGATGGGGGTATGTGGTTGCCTATCATAGAAAAGCATTAAAAAAGAAAAACTTTTTTGTTGTTGTTGTTTTTCAGTTTCAGTTATATATTGGGGGGACATTTTGGGCATATCTGAACATTGGGGGGGACGTGTCCCCCTCAATGTATATGGTGACTACTGCCCTGCATGTCAGACTCCAGCCTGCTTCTCCAAACTGGAGACATGCTGACTGACATCTACTGTATGTAATATACTGTCTATAGATAAGTATGACAACTATCCCTTTAAGGATTCCCACATATTATTTTGGATTGAATTCAAACAGCATAAATGAGTCTGCCAAGAATTTGTACTAAAAAAATATTTGGATCTGTATCTGCTGTGACACACAACATTTGTTTAAGGTTGCCAGAATATACCGCTCAACAGCTATTTTATTCAGGATCAGGCAGGTGCAATTATGTTATCACTTTATTTGTGCTATCCAAAGATTAACAATAAGGGGACACTGATGCAGGCATTTATTAAAGTCACATAGGATCCAGACCTCCTATATAGTCCAATATCTTGTAGCAGATGGAAGTGAGTGAGTCTCTTACCTGTGGCAAGCAGTTCCCTCTATATGCAGAAGTAAAGGAATAGGTTCTTTAGTGCTCAGGTTAGTAGAATCCACATATGGGTGTAGACACAGAAAGCAACCGCACTTATTGAAGATCTGCAAGTTGCCTGTGCTAACACAGTCTCAAAGGCACTTTAAAAATTCTAAGGCAGAGGTGGGTGTTATTCACTCACTTACTCCTTCTATGTCGAGGAGACAGAAGTCTTTTTCGTCATCTGATGATGGTAGTTACATAACTCTGTGCCCCCACCCAGAGCACCAGAGAAATGAAACTTAAGTGAGGCATGACAAGAAAAAAACAACTGGGTTAGTTGGGAACAGCCACTAGAGGGCAGTAAGATACTGTAATTGAGCCCCTCACCATCTAAGCAATAGTCACTTTAGATTACAGTGTAATTCTTGTGTTCATTGTAGTTGCAGCATATTTCATTTATAAGAGGTTTGGTTACAAGAAGATACCACAGATTAACTTTGTTTGATACTGTATGACCAATATAGCATTGGATCTGATATATTGTTGCTCACCCGCAACAAGTTTCTCTGTCTTTGTTTCTCTCGGTATTTAGAATGGTAATTGGCATTATATGTGACTCTTCTGGAAGTCTTACTTTATTGGGAATTACACAAGAGCCACAGCTCCACCCCAGGCTGAGCACTAAGTAGTCAAAGTCAGCTGAGAGTGACACAATAAGTAATCAATGACGATATAGACATACACGATTATTGAATTCATTACAGTGGGGTTTCCTGGTGGACAAGGGTGAGACATCCCCAATTTGAGTCTGGTTGATGACCTTTTTTTGCACGTCTTTCCTCCGTGGGTGACTCGGAAGCAACAGTTGTCGGTATCTGGCATTAATTTTGAGCTTTTTTGCAAACTGATCTGGGCCATCTAGGACTGTAATCCTTTATATGTACCATTATTTTAATTCCTTCTCCTGCCTGGTTTAAAACAATAAATTGGCTATTAAAATGTATGAATCTCAGATTAAATACATTCCCTGGGATGTACATTGCAAGTAAATGGAGTGAAGCTAATTTATTGAACAGTACAGAGATCACAACAGTTCCAGGCTACAAGTACGTGCTTTATTCAGACAGTCCAAACACCAATAAATGTGAAGACAACCACATGGCTAAACCCATTTTAAAAGGTCAGCAGTAATGTAAAAGCAGAAATGACCTGCTGCTGCTGCTAAATGAGGCATAAATTGGAACCATGGCTGATCAGCAAACTCTGCTCCACTGAAAGCAAAAGCAATTAACTTGTTGTAATTGATGGGTGAAAGATGTGTCATTTCACCCTTTAAAGGCAGTCTTTTCAGTTTAAGTGAATTTCACTTCAAACGGAAATACTGCTGTTTTATAATTGCTCTAATATCCTGTTGACAGTTCACTCGCTGAGCACATCTTTCACCGAAATATCCTCCGTGTCATTTAAAATCCTTAATGATATCATACAAACAGCCACTTTGAACCACAGTGTGTTAATTAGTTTGACATCAGCTGTCGTGCAACAGAGCAAATGTCCCATCATCCCCAAGTATGTCATTAATACAAACCAACTTTGCTGTGGTTCAAAGCTGCACTGTGTCAAAGTGCTGCTGAAATGATTGATTTATTTCACTGAATTCTACAATAAACTGTGATAAGGAGTCAGCATGATGTGAAACCTTTTTTTTAGCCAAGCTAAAGAGATTTTAAAGAGATAGGTCGAGTAGTTGATTTTTAAAAGTTTCTAAAGAGACTCCATAGTGTTGGAGCCGCGACTTCAAAGGCATGATCAACTTTTGTTTTCAGTCCAGAGCGGGGCACAGCCAGTAGGTCCTGTTCTGAATACCAAAGGGACCTACTGATAATATATGGATGGAAGAGATCACTGATGTGTTCAGGTGCCTGACCGTGAAGGGCTCTATACATAAGAACAAGTATCTTGAAGTGAATTCTTGAACCTGACGGAAGCCAGTGTAAAGAAACTGAAATGGGAGTGATGTGGACTGACCAGCTGCACCTGGTTAACAGCCTGGCAGCAGGATCAAAGGAAAATATCTTCACAAGTATTGGCTAGATTTGCATTAAGTTTGCAACAGATTTTTTTTTTCAGTTTTTTGTTTTTTTTTTCCAGTTTTTATTTTAGTAAGAACACATTTGCTTCCTTGTTATTGGATTTTTTTTAAATGAATAAAGCTGTAGATAAATGTCTTGACAAGTATGGATTTCTGGGAAATTTTGTGCAAACATTCTTGGTACCCAAAGAATTTAAAACACTTTGACCCCCTGCCTGAACTTTCACCAACCTCCATCGTCAGGTCAAAACTTTAAGTTGTCCAAATTTTTACCTGTAAAACTAACAGCAATCACAAAAGCCTTTGCTCTACTTTGTGTTTAGTGCTAAACTAAGATGATTAACATGTAAACATTATAGTTATGAAACATCGACATGTTAGCACGCTGACTCAAGCATTTAGCTCAAAGCATTACTGTGCTTCTGTCTTATCAACACTTTCATAAGTGTTGAATTAGCTATAGTACCCAAAACAGTCTTTTGTACCAGGCTGTAAACTTGTTTTTTTCTGCTTTAAAGTTGAGCATTTTAACAGTGGGGTCTATGGGGATTGATTCACTTGAAGCCAGCCTCAAGTGACCATTCGACAAACTGCAGTTTGTGGCACTTCCGTGTTTGCTCTATTTTTCAGCCCTGAATGTTTCCGTCTGGTTTAAACATGACCACAATCATACACACACATTAAATTATGATGGATACAAATATTTGTGGTTGTTTTCTGGATTGTATTTAGCATTTCCTGCACCAACAATCTCTCTAACATGCCCGTCTAACCAAAAGTGGCAACAACCTGTGTTTAATGTCATGTCTCGTAAACATTTGGATGTAGCCCATCAGCTTTGTCTCCTGTTTTCCAGCTCCTGTGCACACTCTCTTTGCTAACAGATCATTGATTATTTGTAGATTTATGGAAGGAGGACAGTGACCCTGTGACCTTCAATCACAGCATGTTACTGGATAAACAGATAGCTACATAAACTGTGTCCCTGAGGACAATCGTGCTGCATATCTTTGTTGGTAATTCTACAGTGTGCAAAGCAAGCAGCATAACACTTTCCCAAGGGATAAAAAACTGCAATAAACTCTTCTGTCATCCCCACCCACAGTCATACAGACACAGACACACCTTTCTAGCCCCTCTCTTTTCCTCTTTATCCTCAGATTAATAAAGCAGGTCCTTCCTGGGATAGACTTCAGGCCACCTGATTGGTTTAGCCCAATGCTAAGCCGAGGCAGCTTACAGGGCTTTGTGCCAATGGCTGGATAGCTGAAGACCTGTAAAAGTAAAGAGAGCTAGCATGGTCAGCACCGTGGTGGTGGTGGTCAAGTTAGTAATGTGATAAATGAACACAGGAGATAAGATTCAGGGGCTTTCTGCAGGAAACACAGCTGTAAAATGAGCAAAGAGCAAAAGGAGAATGGAGGGCCGTGATGAGAACCAGAGCAAATGATGCAGCAGGGAATTGTTGCAGCTCCGTTCTGGCCAAATCATGAAGTGCTCTGTGAACGGCTCAGGAGGGGAAGGAGGCAAACACAGGAATGAAAGCTGACAGGAATTAGATGCACATCAGATTCTCTCAGGAGAAACAACCTGGCACTGGAATGAGGGATTAAAAGTAAAGAGAAGCACCAGTGCTGCAGTGTGGACTAAGTGACAGGCATTACCGTATATGTTTCACTTAGCTCGAGACTGGCTAGTGTGTGTCATGCGTTCGTGTGATTGAATGTACTCATGCAAGAGGGATAACTATAGTGGGGGGGCAGCGGCTCCATCAATGGGAGTGTGTGTGCCACATTCTTCATCTTACCAGCTCGGGTAAATCTCCTCTCCCTCATTTGCAGACTGAATCTCTGGAGTGGTGGAATGCCTCGAAACCAAAGGTGAGTGTGCCCTCTTGGCTCTTGACTGCTATATATGGTGGATGTTAACCTATGTTATGCAATCCTGTGCACACAGTAACTTCATTATCATGTTCAAATCCTCACTGCACACTGATACACATGAGAATTTTACACAATCATATTGAGTGCTTGTGAGTTTATGTGTGTATCGAGCCCATAAACATCAAGAAGAGGCTAACTGAGTTAGTTGCAGTCTCGCAGCAGTGCTCTGTAACTGTCTGACGTAATGGGCATCTACTGTATATGTGCAGCTCAAGTGGGAGACACAAAAGCTGGAGCAATTATTCCTAAAAAACAGGGCAGCAGTGGTAATTGATTGACTTTGCACTTGTATTTTAAGAAGAAGGGGGGAAAAATCCCTGTTTATCATCACAGGAGGCTGGCGAAGACTAAACAGGGTGAGTGAGATGAAGAGATTTTAGATGCAGAAGAGGGAAAGGGTGATGTGCATACAAGGAGCGCTGCAGGCGGGAGCAGCAATGTTGTAGCATGTTCTCTTTGCCCTCTGCAGAAAAAAAAGACACTGCAGTATATCTCCCCCTCCCCAGTTTGCTGACCAATGATGTTTGGAGGTCAGACGCCCAGCTCTGCTACTGGTGTCAGCCACTGTCACACAGCTTGTTCCTGAACACACTGGTTATTACACCCCAGATGAAGGGAGGGGCAAATGGTTTAAAGTAATATATGTGCATTTTGATTGCAATCACATGCCGCGGGGAATATAGAACAGGACATGGATGTGCTACTCTCCATGTTCCAGATCAGATTTTGTACTTTATTAAAGAAACAAACACACACATTACATGGACGACTAGGAGCTTTAATTCCCAGTAATGATCAATGAAACTCACATGACACAAAGAGAAAAAAAAGACCTGCTACATCACTGAAAAATATCATTTCCTCATTTCAGTGAAAACATACGCTGTCAGCTGCAGCTGTTGTGCAGTTATCGACACATGCATTGTATATTCTTTTATTTGAGCATTAGCTGATGGTACGTGCTTCTCATCACTGGCTAGTGCCCACTAAGTGCTGACTCAGGACTTTTCTCACTATAAGTGGTCCCCAGGGGTGACAGGACATCAATACTGAACTGGAATCAGCAGCATGGATCTACTACTGTGCTGTTAACTCTCTGCAGTGCAGCTCGGTAAAATGCAAAGAGAGACAATTTCGTGTGTGTGGGGAGTGTGGCTGGAAATATGGGAGATACAATGAGAAACTTATTAGGTCTCTAACTTATTCCAGTTGTTCAATTAAGCACACC